TACAGATTCATGCTCTATGCTCCGCTCAAAACTTTTGTCAGTTCTATGATGCGAATTTCTATAGAGTAGTGTCAGTAGTCGGATCCCGTTTTATACACAAAAATGGCCGACCGGCGACCATGGCTACGCCACTAGCTGGAATGGCACAATTACACAACAAGACCAATTTTACTTCTAATGCTTTTTAGACGTCCACGAGGCATCTAACTTGCGTGCATAATGCAAATTATTGCACTCTAGTGCTGAATTTCGGCGAAAAAAATTAAAAAAAGGCATTTTTTAGAGACGAAATAGTGCTTACTGTTGTACACCTCCGTTATCTAGATGGAACAGATGATCAGCTACGCTGGTGCACCCAGGGATATTTATTTAACACTTTAAATTATTATCGCAGTACGAATCGGTACAACGTCTAAAAATATCCACAAAGTACAGAACGATACACCGATATCAAATTAAGCTCAGACACGGAAGAAAATAATTAAAATCGAGGGGGGGGGATGCGATATGATATATCCAGGTCAACGTGCTTGGTAACCACTTCGTCGATCACAGATCATATACCTCAATAATCTACAGCGACGAGATTGCAATTCAGCGTGGGTTAAGATTTTTAACTGATTTTGGATATATATAAATATATAGGCATACATATATATATATATATATATATATATACCTCAATAATCTACAGCGACGAGATTGCAATTCAGCGTGGGTTAAGATTTTTAACTGATTTTGGATATATATATATATATAGGCATATATATATATATATCGTTATTTATATCACGATTTTAATTCGCTTCAGATTAAAAGAGTTTCGGACCCGAAGCGTTTTCGACTAGACACTTTTCGAAGAAAGAAGTTTTTTCCTTGTTCCACGAGGTGACGTATACACGTGCAGGTAGCGCCGATAGCAACCGAAGATGTGCCTGGATGAATCAAGGAGATGCGTGCTGATGGAAAGATGGAAACAGTGACTCACGCGTTTGCGAACAATTGTTAGCGTTTGCCTTTGTCGGCCATTGTTGTCATTGTTTGCTAATGCGAGGTGGAACGCTGTCCGTCATCTGTACTCTAGTTCACACGCACACACACGCACGAGTGCGTGCGAACGTGCGTACGTGTATGATTCTAAACTCCGTATAGCTCGCGTCGTTCGCTTCACCCCCAACTCCTCCCACCCTCGTACACCCCCACCCCACCCCGCCGGACGCACGGGAGTCACCCGGCCCCGCAGAAACACCTCCCCTGCGCACAAAGCACGACGGCTGACGTCATCGAGCAACGCAGTCACGTTCAAACAGCACCGACAATGAACGCCGCCGAGCGTGAAGTTGGCCGCCGGCAGCGACGACGACGACGATGACGACGGCGGCGACGGCGCGACGGAGAACTCTCACGTGAACCCGCGGCAGCAGCGACGGTACCTGGGTGCGATTGCCTGCGAGCGAGCGTGCACAAGCAATATACAAGCTGACAGCTCGGTCGAGAAACTGCATGGGAAAGCAATAGACATGCAGCCACCTAAATATCCAGGCTGCATGAGAACGCAATAGACAGCCACATAAATATCCAGGCTGCATGATAACGCAATAGACAGCCACCTAAATATCCAGATTGCATGAGAACGCAATAAACAGCCGAAAATCGAGAGTGAATGGAAAAGCAATTGTCCTCTACCTGAAGGTTCGGGCGCTGCATGGGAGGCCAATATACAACCTTAAAGATCCAGGTTGTATGGGAAAGCAATATACAACCTGACAGGTGGAGGTATAGACTTGCATGGGACAGCAATAGATAAAAACTCTAGACCGACAGGTCTGGATAGAAGAGCAATAGATAACCTTAAAAAAACCGGGATAGATAGATCAATAATTGACAACCCCCAAAGGGCAGGGCTGTACAGAATTAAGTAATAGGCCACACAAGGAGATAGACCAGATAGAAAGGCAATAGACGGTAGACCCTAGAAGACAGACTTAGACAGAAACTTATTGGCAAGCCACAGAAACGAGCACTTTAGAGAATAGAATATTATCAGTTGAAAACCTTAGAAGCTAGTACTGTAGACCTACAGGATTAAACAATATAAGACCTAAGAGGGCATACCTAGATAGAAAGACAATATCAAGGGGACCTAAATCCCTTATATATTCTATATTCCTCTTTTATGCGCGCTATACTACTCTCTTATGTACTATATAGTGATCTATCATGTGTTGTGTATAGTGCGATCTTATAGTACTGTATAGTACTCTCTTATGTGCTCCTTAGTACTCTATTGTGTGCTATTTAGTACTCTCTTGCGTCCTACATATCTATATATTATCAGGAGTTAATAAAGACAAATCCTGACAAAGGGGCAGCGTGGGGATGAGAGTAGTCAAGGCCCGAGGTAGTTCACGCCTGACTGCATCGCAAAACAATAAATATTTACGTCGAACAGTATTGGAACTGTGCCAAAATCTTACCTAGCTTCTTGATTCAGGGCCTACATGCATCTGTGCGCATACACACGCATATTTCGTGCATACACACGCGCGCGCACGCACATGCACACACACGCCCGCGCGCGCACGCACACACGTACATACACACACACGCGGGCGCGGGCGCACGCACGCACGTCTCCTCCCTCTCTGTCTGGCCTTGATCTCTGCTTGACTCGATCTCCACTCTACTCTACTCTATATTAGCACCCCCACCACCAGCCGAGCAATCACTACCTATCCACTCAGCGGCGTCGAGCCAGACTCTGACATCGATATGATCTTGTTTTGGACACGCGCTTGCCTTCGTTCGGATGCCTTGTTCTTATATACACGTCCTCGTCTCAAGTACGTTGGTATTGCGGGTTGACGACGCATACAGTTGACTGTTACGTATATGCTTGGCCACTCTCGCTCTCTTTTTGTCTCTTAATTGCTGTCTATCTCTCTGCCTCTCTATTTCTCACAGTCTCATCATCAAGGTGGGACTGTACCAGATATTCTGCTCTACTACACCGTGGCCGAATGTTGAACGGACGAGCAAGTCCGTCTGTGTTATCATCATTATTATTTTACGAGCGACCCAATTGAATGTGAAAAGAGGAACACACGCGACTGGAAAACAGAGCAGACGCACGTCTATATCGACATTTTACGGTCAGAGGCACCGAACCTTGTAAGACCATATACCGTTGTCGGGCCACATTCCCTCGTGTGGCAGATTCTACTGTACGTGAAATGATCTATCATACATTATACACGCACACACACACGCACCACAATAACACACACACACACACCACAGTAACACACTCTCACACACACACACACACACACACACACACACACACACACACACACACACACACACACACACACACACACACACACACACGCACACACACCATAAACACACACGCACACATTAGACCGGTCTTGTCTAGAAATGGGAAGCGAGATGCATAGATGAAGAGGGGAACGAGGGGAAGAAGAAGAAGAAGAAGAAGTAGTAGTAGTAGTAGTAGTCGTAGTAGTAGTAGAGGAAGAAGAAAAAGATAAAGAAGAAGAAGAAGAAGAAAAAGAAGAACAAAGACAACAACAACGACAACAACAACAACAAAGGATAAATTGGGGATGGATAAAGGGAATCAATTATTTGACAAGTAACCGGGTCAATAGAAGTATTGGATGACGTCACGTCAGCATTAGTTTACGACAGTGAGTCTTGTCGCCATAGTGGCAGCAGACAGTGGGAGGTAGCCGTCATGTTAATAGCTAGCTGCCCCTGTGATTGTCACATACGGCTGAAATCGGCTTACTAGGGCAGTATGCACGTACACTGGAACACACACACGCATACGCACCTATACACTCGCACACGCATGCACACTTTCTTATAAAATATATAGAAGAGTCAGTGAGAGGTAACTCTTCGATTGCCAAGGAAGACCCCGCCCCTCCAGTCCTCACCCCAGGTGTAAACATTGTCTAAGTGCGCATGCGCACACACACTCACCTTCGCTGTGGTGGCTGGCCCCAAACAGCATGTGCAGCTCTCGCTTACTGAGATGGTGGTGAATGGTGTTCACCTGGAAATAGAATAAAACAACGTTCAATTGCAGTGATGATACCATAATAATGATGATAATAATGATAATTGCTTGGTAGACAGATATAGATATAGATATATACATATATAGAGGGCTATACAGAGAAGAGGAGCCAGAGAGCGGGAGAGAGAAAGAGGGAGAGAGCAGACGGTCAGACGCACACCACTCAGACACAACATGAGGATCTGTCTCTGTCTCTCTCTCTCTCTCTCTCTCTCTCTCTCTCTCTCTCTCTCTCTCTCTCTCTCTCTTATGCTACCGTGTCCTAAACTACCTGTCTAGCATCTACTCTGTCTCACTTCAGTATCTACGCTGTCCTTCGTATCTACCTGGTCCTAAGCGCATCTAACTATTCACTAGAACTTACCTGTCCTATGCATCTACGCTGTCCTAGCATCTACCGTTCAAGCATGCTACCTGTTTTAGCATCTAACACTGTCCTAGCATGCAAACCTGTGCTAGTACTTACATGTCCAATCATCACCTGTCATAGCACTACCTGTCTCTATGTCTACGCTGTCCTAGCACTACCTGCTCGTTAAATAAACACTGTACTAGTGTCTACTTGTCCTAGCATACCTTCTATTAAATAAAACCTGTCCTAGTTATCTACCTGTCCCCCCACCCTAGCATCTACCTATCCTAGAACTTAACTATCCTTGCATCTACCTGTCCTAGCGTCTACCTATCCTAGCATCTACCTGTCCTAGTATCTACCTATCCTAGAACTTACCTGTCTAGCATCTACCTATCCTAGCATCTACCTGTCCTTACAATACAACCTGATCTAAGCATCTACCTGTCCTTAAATAACCGCGTCCTAGCATTACCTGTCCGTAGTGTTCTACCTATCGCTAGCACTACTGTCCTTAAATAAACCTGTACTAGTAACCTACCCTGTCCTAGCATCTACTACCTAGAACTCAAACTATCTGCATCTACCTGTCCTAGTGTCTACCTATCCTAGCATCTACCTGTCCTTAAATAAACCTGTCCTAGTATCTACCTGTCCTAGCATCTACCTATCCTAGAACTTAACTATCCTTGCATCTACCTGTCCTAGTGTCTACTTGTCCCTAAGCATCTACCTGTCCTACGCATTTAACCGTGTCGCTAGGCATCTACCTGCTGCTAAAAACTAACCTGTCCTAGCATCTAACCTGTTATAGCAATTAACCTGTCTTAGCATCTACCTGTGCTAATATCTACCTGTCCTAGAACTTACCTGTCCTAGCAGCTACCTGTCCTGGCAGCTACCTCTCCTTAAATAAACATGTCCTAGTATCTACCTGTCCTAGCATCTACCTATCCTAGAACTTAACTATCCTTGCATTTACCTGTCCTAGTGTCTACTTATCCTAGCATCTACCTGTCCTAAAAATAACCTGTCCTAGCAGCTAACCTGTCTCCAGAAACTTAACCTGGTCCTAGTCAATCTACTGTCCTAGATATCTACCTGTGCCTAATATCTACTTGCGCTAGTCTTAACGGCTTCCTAGCATCTACCCTGTTCAGCATCTACCTGTCCTTAAATAAAGCCTCGTCCTATATCTACCTGTCACATAGCCATCTTACCTATCCTAGAACTTACTATCCTTGACATCTAACTGTCCTAGCATCTACCTGTCCTAGGCGACACTACCTGGCCTGCAGCTACCTGTTCTAGCATCTACCTGTCTACGCATCTAATAGTCCTAGAACTTTACCTGTTCTAGCATCTACGCTGTCGCTAGATATCTCCTGTGCTAATCATACTACCTGTCCCTAGCATCTACCTGTCATAGCATCTACATCTGTCCTACAGAACTTACCTGCCTAGCAATCTACTTGTCCTAGCAGCTAAGACTACTGTCATAGCATTTACATGTCCTAGAACTTACCTGTCCTAATATTTACCTGTGCTAATCAATCTCCTGTCTAGACATCTACCTGTCATAGCATCTACCTGTCCTAGACTTGACCTGTCCTACGCATGCTACCGTCCTAGGCAGCGAGCCTGTCATAGCATGCTACTCCTGTTCTAAAGAACTTACCTGTCCTAGAATGCTACATGTCCTAGAACTTACCTGTCCTAGCATCCCTGTCCTAATATCTACCTGTGCTAATATCTACCTGTCCTAGCATCTACCTGTCATAGCATCTGTAGGAAAGCGCGCAGTTCTGCATCAGTCTACATTAGTTTGGCTTCTCTAATTAGTTGCGCGGGCACGAACGCAATGCACTAATACACCATTAACATCGCCATATAAGCGGTGATTCCGCCGCGATGTCCACCGTCTGGCCCGTCTCTAGGCCCCGAGACTTATTGACGGCGAAATGCGCAGGTAAAATACGCTTTTGGCTGCTCATCCTCTAGGGAGCACGTGCCAGTTTACCACCAAGCTCGCGCCTCACCCTTTTCCCGAGCCACATACACAGCGCGCAGGAGACCGACTCGTCCGTTTCCTCCATCTGGTGCCTGGTGATACTCACACACGAGTCCGCGCTAACCTATCTTCTCGTATTCTCTGCCGTACCCTCCCGGTATCCACCGCACGTATCATGCTTGCCTGCCGGTTTTTCTCACCGGCGCGAGCGTCTCCCGAGATCAGCCGCGGTAAACGGGCGTCCACAACCATAGCGTATCAACCAGATTGCGTATGGTTGCGAAATAAAAATAGTGGGCATAAAGTTCCGAACGCAACTCACACCAAACTATAGGTTTTTATCAAGGTTTGAAGTACCAACAAGCACGCAGGTGATGGCGCAACACGCAGCGCCGCCCGCGCCCACGCAGAGTCAAGTTCGCGCCATTTTGAACTGTTCAGATAATTCTCTGCGAAGATCGCGCTGCCGATCGGAATTTATACGCAACAGGGACGCAAGCAGTACGGCCTACCGCCGGAACACGGACGAACACGATGCGCAACACGATCGCAAGCAGGTACGCAACTCATAAGTTATGAACGCAGGTGATTGGCAGTCCAATTTGAGGTGAATTTGCCAGGTTTTGGGTAAGTAAAACGTACATGTTGCGAAATGTGTTGGCGTACCTGTTGGTTGACATGTTGCGATGCGTGTTGCGTGCCTGTTGCGATCATGTTGCGTGTGTAGGTACCCCAACTTTGTGCGTATTCCCAGCGTATGCCGCAACACTAATTAGTTGCGTGTGAGTTGCGTGTTAAGTTGGCGTACTACATGCGTGTTTGAAGAAATGGTATAATAGTATGGCCTTTTCTAGAAGATCGGTGTCAGTTGTTGGGTGGACCTCCGAGGTGAGCAACATGGAGGCTACCTCTTGCTGTTATTGGCATATCAGTTTTAATCTGGTTCAATTTTAGACTCCAGACACATACAGAATAGAATAAGCAAAGGGGAGGAAGAAGAAAGAAGAGAAGAAGAAGAAGAAGAAGAAGAGAAGAAGAAGAAGAAGAGTGTGGGTTAGACGGCATAGATAGCAGCGCCTTGCACTTTTGGCTCTGCTAACGACCACTTCTGGTGGAAGCTTCCGGAACGAGACCAAAGCTGCATTCAAGAATTCATGAGGATCCCCCCCCGATGATGTACGATGAGCTGCTACGGAGAGTTGGTCCTCGCATGCACCCAAGCAAACACCAAAATATAACATTACAGGTTGCCCTGACCCTGGCGCTGGGGCTGGGCAGTCACGGTTTGTACAAGGTTTTTACCACGTGACCGATATTCGGCAATTAGCACGCAACATAGCACGCAGGTCCAACGCAACTTGTAAGTTTTTGGAAGCGGCAACTCAAACGGCAATGCTCAGTAAGTTCCTGCACGCAACTCACACCAACTCCGCAGCGGCCAACTGCGTACGCAGGTGGATCGGCAGATATTGGGGGGATATAAGTCAGCTTCGCAACCACCCACCAACGCGCATACGCAACCCACCACGCACACACGCAACGGCACAACGCAAGCGCCATAGGTTGAATAGGCTAGAAAATTGACAAACTTGTTGATTTGGGTTGCGGTTTGTGGCGTATAATAAATATTTTTTACAAGCGGCAATCATAGGTTTTTCAGCATAGCGCTATGGTGTGAGCGGGGCCTTTAAGATGACGTGATCGGGGCTATGGTGTGACGCGGCCTTCAATGGTGGTGACGTGGGGACGATCTTTAAGGATACGGATATATTGTTAGTACGGTCATATTTTCTGTGTGCGTGTGCCGCGCATAGTGTTACGTCTTTCTATGTAGTTTGTAGTTAGAGAGTGTATTCGGTCGTGTACTAGAAACAAGCAGAGAGTAACATCAATTTCTGACTTCGTGTTTCTATCTGTGCTCTCTATCGTGAACTCTATCGGCGAACCTGATACTACCCTCAAGAAACGGGTGCCCTACTAGCGCACCTACTAAACGCGTGAACCTGGGGAGCGGGAAGCTGAGTGGCTTCTTTAGACATCTACCTGTCCTAGGACTACATGCCTCGGCCTAAAACTTACCTGGTCTCTAGTATCTATCTGTGCTAATATCTACCTGTCCCTTGACTTACCTGTGCGCAGCATCTTCTTGTTATACGCATATACCTGTTTTCTAAGCAACTCTATCTGTTGCTAGTATCTACTTGTGCCTACGAACTTACGGCTATCGCTACCGCATCTACCTATCTTCAGCAATCTAACTGTCCTAGCATATACCTGTTTCTAGTATTTAGCATGCACATGTATGTATTCGTATGTGTACCTACATTCACTAGGCATATCACTGCCCCTGTAACTAAACCCTAGGAAAGACCTGGCTCTAGCATATACTGTAAGTTACTTCCATATGACTCGTCGTCGCGTGATGTGCAGAGGCGAACCGGATAGACACCCCCTGCCCGCAGCGACTGCGAGCTCAACACGTTCGCCGCGCTGTTCCACCGCATGCGGCCCTGGCTCTCTTCCTTTAGTCATATCTGTCTCTTCTCTTTCTTCTGCTCTCCGCTCTCGAATCGCTTTCTCTCTCTCTCGGCTTGCTCGATCTCCTCACTGCAGTC